ATATATCGTATCGTGACCCCTCTGTCATGATATGTATCGTATCGCCAAATTCTTGCCAATACACAGCCCTACTCATGTATAATACGACCCACCCTTTTTTGAGCTTAAAAAGCATAAAAAATTTAATCCTCAAACTACCTCCAATTTCATACAGACTTCCATATTTTTCAGTGTGCAGTCTTTATATACATCAGTTAAATGATCATTGAACTGCTCATTTTATTTTAACAACATATGTACTAAAAGGTATTTTGACAACAAATACTGTATATATCAGCTGTAGCAGCATCATATGAATTCTGGCATTTTACACACAGTCCACCAGGAGGCACCAGCACAAAAGTCAGAGACTTCACATGAGATTTGGGCCATCTTCAAGCAGATACAAGCAAATTACTTCCTACTCGCGAACGCCCCCTCTGGTGGGGAAACTTTTTTTCAGGGATACAAACTTTTTCAGAACACCGGTAGACGGCAGCCATTACAGACGAACATGTGTTTGTTGTTGTTCCAGGAGCGGCTCGGTCACACGCTAATGTCATTAGTTCGCTATCATCACTAAGATGCAGGACTGCCTTTTCCCCCCTTTTATTCACATCATGTCGCCTGCCTGGATCTGTTATTATCTCGCTCTGAAGCACGGAGGAGTGTCAGAGGTAAGCTCGTTTCAACTGCTTTTTACGACGCGGTCTCATTTCCAGACTCAATAATTTTGTGAATGAAGCCGATATTTCAGTTAAAATACATAAGTAAAAACATTTATCCGAGTGTAATACTACCCACCAACTTTATGGATGATTTTATGGATTTAATTTTACGTATTATACTTGAATAAATACGGTACACACTTTATGAAAATGTGGAATTTGCAATAAAACAGAAAAGCGGAATTTGTTTAAAAAAACTATTTGGGAAAAAATAAAATAGATTTTATGGGGCTTTAGGAATGCTCATCGCTCACTGCACTGCAGGCTAAAATTCATTTTAATACAAGCTAATAAAAGCTTAATAGTTTCCTCCCTGACCAGCTGGCATCCCYTGGTAGAGGCGACTCACCTTGTTGTAGAGGAAGACCCCGACAATGGCGGTCATCATGCCCATGACGTTTGTGAGCGTGACCGGGTTACGCAGCATCAACAGCGATATGCTGATGACCATGATCCTCTTGGTGGCGTTGGCCACGGCGTAGCTGAGCGGGCTGACCAGGTTGAGAATACTGAAAGCGATGACGTTCTGTGCAAAGTTGCAGAAGCCGCTGATGAGGAGGAGGACGAAGGTGCTCGTCCATCCCGAAACGTCTGACTGAAAGGAGAGGTGTTGGAAACAGATGAAAGTTACGAACCAACCGTCTGTGCTCCGGCAGAAGCCGTGTGTCTAAAGATCAGCTTTTGTTACGCACCAGATCTCCGTTCACAAGGAACACAGAGAGGTCCACCAGAACCCAGGTGGGCAGCATGAAGATCACAGCATTAAAGCCCAGGATGTTGAGGAGCCTCAAGTGGTGCACTCTTGTGTCACGCAACATCTTTACAAAAAAACAAACAAACCTCAAATTAAAAATTTACTTCAACACTCAAGTTAAAACATTTCACAGAGCATTCATCGTGTTTTAACAGAGCCACAAAAAAAATAATAATAAAGAGATAACGACGTGCAAAAACCAGAGCCTTCACCTTTTTGGAAAAAATGTTCTGCAGGGAGAAGCAGAGCGTGGCGGCGAGAGCGCTGATTAATCCTGAAACGTCGAAGGAAAGCTCCGTGACGGTGGCCAGCAGCACTCCACCGATGATGGGGATGAGCGATATGTACACCTGCAACAAGACAKAAACATTTTTCTGTCTGCTAAATTATCTGCTTTTATGTCAATGTCAATGTCAAATTTATTTATATAGCACTTTACAACATGCATAAAGCTGTACCAAAGTGCTGTACAAGAACAACACAAATGACAAAACAGAGCAAAAAACAATACATCAATTAAATGCCAAAGAATAAAAAATTGTCATTGACAACAAAGGCTTTTGTACAAAGTATTAGATAAATTTCAGTAAGTGTGTTCAATACTTTTCCCTGTGCCATTATTACAAATAACTTCATTTCTGGACATTTATGGTTGATTTCTTTGTATGTATGGATCACTTGGGT